GGGGTAGCCCCGCCACAATGGCGGGGCGATTGTTTGGTTTTCTCGTCATCATTACTAAATGTAAACTACTGTCAATAATCTTCTGGAGAATGCTTTTTTCAGATAACCTCTCGCAAGCGAAAGAGTACCCAACTAAGGGGGCCGCCTTCTACAGTCCGGCTAATCATACGATGAATTGAGGTGAACGCATACCCTCCAATGTGACGCCTATGCGAGCTTGTGGAAACGTCCTGGACACGCAACGCGTGTTAGGGAATAAGCAACAAGGATACTCAAGTCATTACAATAAAAGTATGACACGCTACTAACTGCACCGCTTGATCGTACGGCTTTATACCACCTCGGGAACCCACGGTCAACAATCTTTAACTCTTGATATGATGGCGCATGTCTTCTGTATACGTAAACAAGTGGATACGTATCCACCAATTCCTTGGCCGATTGATCTCTTAGATAATTCCTTAAGCATGCTCGAACATGGAATGATCATGGCTTCACCTACTGTGTGAAACGTCACCCTTACTCGTCTCTTCTTGAGCGATAGTCATGGCATAATACGGATAGAAGTTGACACGTGGCGCACAGAGACGGTGTCGCTTAACTTGGTGTCCTAGATCACTATTTGTTGTCACTAAACTAGGTCCCCGGTGCGAAGGGGCGGAGCTCGCTGAGCTTCTTATAAAAAATTCAGCGGGCTCTTATTGAAATTATTTTGGAAATTGGGTGACTTAAAAACAGAAAGTAGTCGGAGGTTGGCTGGCGTCGTCGACGTGGCCGACCACTGTCTCCTTGTAGAGACATGTGATAAAAGTGATCATCGTAGGATCTGACCTTGGATCATTATGTTGGGAATCGTGGTCACTAACGTTCTGAGCTAGTAGTTCACTTGTTGTGTGAAGAAACGTTTCGTCGAAAATAAGCGGGCGAAGCAACAGCGACACTTTCGCTATATTTTAGCGCCGGTGAGCAGTCAACGGGGGACAGAATGATACCCTGCTTGCCTTCTGAATCGCCCTGGTCGGGTCGGAATTTTTCCTCACGCACGGACGGACGGACGGACGGACGGACGCACACGAGTGCTCGTGCGCGGTAACATAAGCTCCGCTGAGCGGAGCTCATGTTACAAGCGGAGTCCACGAGCGGAGTCCGCTTGCTTCGCTCGCTGCGCAATTTAGTGACACCAATTCGCCCAGCTGATGGATATCCAATCCTGCGCTTCTTTAATAACGCTCTTACCTAGGGTAAGTTACCGCATTAGGCTAGGGGTTTGCTCTCGCATGAGAGGTTCGGGTCACAAATAGTGATCTAGGACACCAAGTTTAGTGACAGCGTCCGGGCATGCCCGTGTCAACTTGCTAACTTGTGAACTCTCACCTCTCCTTCCAAATCTAAGCACGTGCATCGCTCGATGATGATGAGGTACAACTGGATACTACTATCCTCCTCATGAAGTACCTCAATGTTCTATCATGCAGAAAAGTATAACTCTCCTCTCCGATGTGTTCTGGTCTGAGCCTGAATATGAGAAAGTCAAGGAAGGCCACCGAAGAGGGGTTCGGCGACATTGTTAACCTTAGCATAATTCAGTCCTCCGTGACCATATGCTCCTCGCCAAGTGTTGATCTGATCAACTTATCATTCACCAATCCTTAGCACTATCGCTTGGATGTCAATCTGAGAATCACACCACGTCAATAGCGAGTTGCTATCATGCGGAATATGAGCATCTGCCAGGGGTGGAGAACGCAACGCAGGAAGAGGGGGAGTTGGTTGAGATCGTCCTATCGTTGGACCTCACGCGAATCTTGCGCTTTTCTCGAGTTTTTCTAGCCCCCTTGAACTAGCGTTACGGGCAGATCATGTGAAATTCGTCTTCTAGTGCAGTTGTTCAGTTATGGGGTGCTTTTCATCAAAACAAGAAGATATCGTGGCGCAACCATCACACCATTCTGACCATGGCAGCAAGCACTCAATGAAGTCAGCGGCAACTAGGATGGATGATGCTGCGGGCAAACCCTCGAACGAGGTAATTTCCGTAAGAGACTATTCCCATTGTGTTGGGTTACACAATCTGAGAACACTCTGGCGTTGCATGTGGTCTATGTCTAGTACTGCGCTCGTTGATCGGGAGCAGATGTTTAGGAATTCCCTGTGTATAGCGGCTCTACGCAATTCACACGTCGATTGTCGTCTTTCAGATAACTGTTAGTGGAGTCGATCCTGTTACCGGGCATCCACCAAGTCCAGCTACTACTGTGCCTACTTTGGCATCTCAGGTGTCCAGGGTTTACACTGAGGCTCGTGCTAACTTCGCCCGGGATGTAGCTAAGGACTCGCAAAAGGCTCTCTTAGCTTTCGAGGGCGATCATCGCTTCCAGAGCTCTGGTGTGGTTGATGAAGTCACCTTATTGAGCCGACCCTCAGGCAAGGGTTCAGCTCGTGTTGTCGGTGGTAAAGTCACTTTGCCTGCCGGTTTGGGTGTCGGTGTAGATCAAGTCGTTGCCTTCTTGATGGACTTCGACGCTCGATCTACTTGGGACACCTCGTTCAAGCGGTGGAAGGTCATAGAAAAGTTTGATGATGCTGACCCGCCTGTTTCTATCTGTTGGGCGGCCACGCGAAACCTCAGCTCCGTTTTGGGTGACCGAGATTTTGTTTTTGCTATGATGGCTGAGAAGCTATCTCCTTCGCGAGCTGTTGTCTCCTATCGCTCGCTTGATTTGGTTGACTACCCCGAGGGTAAGTACGATTTGTCCCTCACTCGTGGTACTATCGTGAACTCTGGTTACATAGTCGAGGCACTTGATGGGGTTATTTTTATATCGCTCTTCGAGCAAATTGATCTTGGAGGAAGCGCCCCATCATTCGTGGCGGAGCGCGAGTTGTCTACTCTTCCATTAAAGCTCGTTAAACTACATGCAGCTATTATGTCTTCCAAGATAGTGGTTGCACCCACGACAGCAAAGACTACAGCAGAACCTATAAAATCCGACGATGAAGTAAGTGATACCAGACGAGATGATCGTAGTCGCTCTCATGGCTATTTGTCAGGTACCGAAGCGAGCTGTGGAGGAATCTCAACCGGCGGCAGCTGAGACCGATAATATATCTCTAAGTGAAGAGGGTCAGCGAATGATGAAGGTTGGCCTCGATGCTCAAGCGGCTTTATTGGCCTTCCAAAAAGATAGTTCTTTCAAGTCTAAAGGGAAGTCTGGTCCAGTTGAGCTCTCCGTGAGGTCACAGAATGGCAGTGAGATGCAGGTCGTATGTGGCAAGATGAATTGGGGTAAAGATTATACCATTTCCCAAGTGATGGAATTCCTTGGTGACATGATCAACAAGGTTAACTGGGATGATCAGTTGATTGAGGACAAGGTGCTGAAGAGCTACTTGAACGACGGTCAGCGAGAAGTCACTCTGACTTGGACGTCGTATAAAGGAGAGATGGGAGTAGCCGGTCGAGACTTCATCTACGCGGCTGTTAACGAGAAGGTATCTGAGACTAAGGGTGTTATGACATGTCGGTCGGTTGACTTGGACGAGTTCCCAGAACATAAGTTCTCAGCTGAAGCATGTAGAGGTTTTATCCAAAATGCTGGCTATGTAATTGACAAGGCTCCGAGTGGTGACTTGATAGTGTCTTTCTATAACCAAGTCGATGTTCGAGGATCCGTCCCGACATGGATAGTAAATAAGGCTACCATGAAGCAACCCATGAGCTTGGTACCGGCCTTCGCAGCCATCAAGCACTACAAGTTCAAACCAGTACCTGTAGCAGTGCCTTCGACCAAAGACGAGGTAAGTTGTCACGAATGCGAGTTCCTATCGTGATATCGTTCCATTGGTTTCTTCCAAGGTCCCAATGGTCGAGAAGCCTCAAAGCCTGCCAGTTCCTGAGAAGCCTGAAGAGTCTGCTAAGGAAGTAGTGGAGTCCCAGCCTTCTAGTGAGATGACTTCTCCTCAAGCTAAGATGGCTCTTGATGCCGGTATGACTGCCCAGAAAGCTTTGCTTGCTTTTGAGAATGACCCGACGTTCAAATCACAAGGTCGCTCCGGCAACGTGGACTTGTTTGTGCGGCCCCAGACAGTGACTGAGCGACAGGTCGTATGTGGCAAGATGAGCTTTGGTAAGGAATATACCATCAAACAGATCATGCAGTTTATCAACGACCTGGCGTCCAAAGAGACGTGGGATAGCCAATTCCAGGATGGTAGAGTTTTAGAGACTTACTCTGAAACATCTGACCAGACTCTTACCTTGACCTGGGCCGCGTATAAGAAGCAAATGGGTGTTGCTGGCCGCGACTTCGTTTATGCTGTCCTCATCGAGATGGTGTCCCCAACAGTTGGTGTTATCGCGACGCGTTCGGTGAACAGGGACGATTACCCAGAGCATAAGTTTTTGGATACTCATTGCAGAGGCTTCATCGACAATGCTGGATATGTTATCCATGACGTTGATGGAGAGAAGATTGTATCGTTCTATAATCAAGTAGATGTTGGTGGTTCGGTTCCTACATGGATCGTCAATAAGGCCCAAATGAAGCAACCGATGAGTTTGGATTCTACTTTCCAGGCTCTGAAGAAACACAAGTTCGATCCTGCTGAGTAGCGCAGCAGCACTGATGGTCTTCCAGAGCCACTGCCTTGTCTTTCATTGCTATAGCTATGAGCTATGCACCGGCTGGGAGTTTTTGACTGTAGAGACGATCTGAGTGCATTCCTCATAGGCTGCTTAGCTAGCCGCTTTGAGGACCTTGTCCAGCTCATGTATTTTCATCATCGGTATACGGTTTCTTCATATAAAGCAGGGTAAGTGTAGCTCACTTTTTCCGCTGTAACCGATTGTGTTGCGTTAATCACTTGAAAAAAGGAGTAATAGAATGTGACTTGGATAATTTGCTGGTGTGATTCATCCTGCTTCGTTTTATCGGATTATATATCACTCAAGAATTCATGATGTTGCATAAATTTGCACTTTCGAGAGTACCACACTGCTAATAAAAACATTTAATCGGTGCCGAACCTTGTACGAGAGGACAAGATTTAGCTAGCTCGATTCACTTGATTATTGCGAATTTCGATTTCATCGACAAGGATATCACATTTGGTCGTTGCGCATGCGCTTGGATAGACGTCCTACCAGAATCTACCGTATTGGCTCTAGGCCATGAAACGGCATAGCGGCCCCAGTCGCCGAGTAGATATACGTACCGCTTACCGTATTGGCTCTAGGCCACGGAATGGCATAGCGGCCCCAGTCGCCGAGTCGATATACGTAACGCTTACCGTATTGGCTCTAGGCCACGGAATGGCATAGCGGCCCCAGTCGCCGAGTCGATATACGTAACGCTTACCGTATTGGCTCTAGGCCACGGAATGGCATAGCGGCCCCAGTCGCCGAGCAGATATACGTAACGCTTACAGTATTGGCTCTAGTCCACGGAATGGCATAGCGGCCCCAGTCGCCGAGTAGATATACGTAACGCTTACCGTATTGGCTCTAGGCCACGGAATGGCATAGCGGCCCCAGTCGCCGAGTAGATATACGTAACGCTCACCGTATTGGCTCTAGGTTACGGAATGGCATAGCGGCCCCAGTCGCCGAGTGGATATTCCTGACGCTCACCGTTATGGCTTCAGAACATGAATGGCATAGCGGCCCCAGTCGCCGAGTAGATATTCGTAACGCTCACTGTATTGGCTCTATGCCACGGAATGGCATAGCGGCCCCATTTGCCGAGTATATATTTGATCCGGATGTCGTGGTGGATTTAGACCATGGAATGGCATAGCGGCCCCATTCGCCAAATAGATATTTTGAATGGTTACTGTACGAGTTTCACCGGCCTTTGCTTTATGCTGAACGCAACTCTCAGACATCATCCAACTAAATGATGATTAGTTCCTTCTCTGGAAGCCACTGCAAGAAATTCTCATGTGACCTGGACCGGAGTAGGCTGATGAGTCAACATAGCTCAGGAACGCCGATTAACCAAACGCTCACCTTATCGACTTCGCCAACTATGAAAAGAAGGCCTTTGAACTGACTATATCCACTCTCCGACCTACGTGTCCTCTGTTTCATCTACAGAGAAGATGCAAGCATCATACGTTTTCTTCGGCAAGCGTACGAGCCATAAACCAATACGGTCGCGTGACGAGCATAGAAGCGTCAGCATATAAAATCTTAGCCTCATGTTAATGACAGAGGCCACCCCATCCCCAACGACTGCTTCAGAAGCGTTTAACGCTCGTAGGGCTATGGTACTCCTTTCCGATAAGCGAAGGTTATCACAAGAACGTTCCTAGTGATTCCGCTTACACCAGATGACAACTGGGCCATATCCGATCAACTCCCATCCTACCTACTAGGACAACTCGACTCACAACAAGGAAGACATACAACAAATACCTCACTCAATATCATCCAGACCATAACATGCAAACTTTCCACGAATTTCAAATTGAACTTTCACCGTATACAAGATTTCACCCAATATGTAGAATACCTTCCCTCATCTTCGACCTGTATGCAAGTAGTAAAGGGCGGCAAAGAAGAACAGTTGGAGCACCGCTGTCCATATGGCGAGTATGACCATATTCAAACCGAGGTCAGTGTCTTCCAGGTTATACTCAGTTAAAATGAGGTCCCCAAGTGGTGGAGCATCATCGAACTCAGCGAACATGAATGCAGCAAACGCGTACGTGTGGAATGCCAAGTGATGAACCCACTTCCAGCCTGCGGGTATGCGGTCCGCCGGGACCATGAAGCCGCACACCAACATAAACATACCATAGATACCGGCACCTAGAGCGATACCAATGATGTAATGAGGAGTGGCAGCACCCAGCAGCATCATGAGCGATTCCGAGACAACCATCGAGAGGAACAAGTTGAGGCAAAACCAGCCAAAAGCGTTGAGTCCAGCCAAGCCAACAACCATGCCAGACGAGACCACTGCGATAAGAGCGATGCCCGGAAGGCAAGCGAGGAAGTTGGCAATGACGAACACCGCCACGTTAACGTTGGAATTAGCTCGCTCTCGAGCAAACACTGAACGTATCTCATCGAAGAATGGCAGCACGGCTACAGCCATGAATACCAGGAATGCCTGCACATAGAAAAGCATCGGGACTTGGTCTCTCTGAGTAAGGGAGTCGTTGGTCCGAATGTACATAGTGCCAATCATAAAGGAGAGAATAACATACATGACCAGACGAACCCAGTAGATGCCTGGGTTTCTCACGTTATTTTGGAAGTTCCTCACCAGGAGGGTGATGAATTGCTGTAGTTTGCTCGGTCGGACAGTCGCCCAAATCTCACTGTCATTCAAGCGAGGGACGCTGTCAAGATCATCCGACGTACGTGATGCTCCTCCTTGGTTGGCCACGGTGTTATAGTGGTCGACGAGTCCTGGGACGTCGCCATGACCAGGGAAATCCGTGTTGACTAGATTCATGACATGCTCAGCGGGATTCGTAAAGGTGGGTACGGGATAGCCAGCAGCAGCGAAGTACTCCGGCACCTTATCTGGCGGACCGAAGTATACAATGTTGCCTTGTACGAGGAAGCACACTTTGCTAAGCGAGAGCCAAATATCGCTACTAGGCTGATGAATAGTCACGACGATTGTGCACTTGTCCTCAGAAGCGAGGTTCTTGAGATATTCCATAATGTTGTAGGCGGACGCTGAGTCCAGACCAGAGGTGGGCTCATCTAGGAGTAGAACAGACGGTGATTTTAGGAGCTCAATCGCGGCGCTTACACGGCGCTTTTGGCCACCAGAGATGCCCTTGCGGAAAACGTCCCCAATGAGAGTATTCTCACAAGAACGCAGACCCATTATGTCAACGACATGTTGAACACGGCGTTCCCGTTCGTCGTGACTGACTTGTTTGGGTAGAGCCAGACGAGCACTTTGGCGAAGTGTCTCGAGCACGGTGAAGGAACCCATCAGACTGTCTTCTTGGGCAACGTACGCAGATACCGCCCGAAAGGAGATCGGTGTACGACTAATCTTGTTGAGCAAAATGTCGCCGGTGATTTTGCCAGACGAGACACGGTCAGCCAGAATGTCTAATAGTGACGTTTTGCCAGAGCCGGAGGGGCCCATGATGGCAACGACTTCACCAGGAGCGGCTGAGCCGCTCACGTTGTTGAGGATACGCTTAACACCGAGCTTCTTGCCCAAGAGGCTCTTTCGGGTGACTTCAAAAGTGACATCGCGCCAATCAAGGGAATGAGATTGTCGTTCGACCTTGTCTACTGGGTGGCGGGTGTAAGCGCTCATCGTTGGAAGAATGGCAAAGAAGCTTTTGGGACAGGAACGTAGTATTTACGTCTATCACAACTCCTTATCTAAAGTCTTATTAAGTACCATTTTTGCTCGACTGCCCAACAGCGAAACGAGTTCTGAGTTCATCGAATTCCAACGTGATTCACATTGGTCACACGATACGTGAGCCTCATGATCTAGCCTAACAAGTTGATCACTTCACCTTACACGTATATTCACACACAGCGGAGAAACCTAATGGAAATTGGTCTTTACGTCTCTGATCGTCGGAGTCCGACGGAGGCTCTCCGTGTTGCGCTCGAATGGGCGTGCGCTAACTGTAAGTAGCGGAGCGAAGCGACTCGAGAATTCCACTTTGAATGTAGTCAACTACATATTAATACTTTTAAGCTAGGTGGATATAATCGTGCGTTAATATTTCACATTTTCAAATTTCTTCCACAAATTCTAATTACATGCTACCCCATTTTCAGCATATGCCCCGCTAATACGTTACTTCCTACTTATTCATTCTAAACGCCTCTTTCAGCTCTAACTCTACTCTTCTCAGTCCATTCCTAAATCTACATCGTGCGTAATTTCATCACGTTTTCTTACACTTCTTGTGTTGACTACAATATGAAAATTCTCGGTGATTTCTGAAAACTTCAACCATAATTTTCTAGGTAAATTCTGAGGAAATTTCGGAAACTTGTTGTTGGTTTCGGTACACTTCTTCCAAAATTCGCTATGAAAATTCCGATGAAATTTTGGGAAATTCTCGTTGTTTTTTGAACATTTCTACCAAAATTCGTATGTAAACTCTATAACCAGTGACAGAACTCCTGAGCTCAGTTCAAGAAAGCGAATGTATATATTCCACCAGGGATGATGCTAGGCGTAAAACCTTACCCTTGGGCGTATGTGTTGAAGACTTGTAATACTCAAAGTTTTAGACTGTAATTGTACTTTTACAGTAACAGGATACTGAAAGCTATCTGTGGAGGGGGGGAAGTCAATTCCCTGGCTAAAACCAGAGTGAGTCCGCATTAAGTCATTGGTACCCATATCCTCACTATCATCCAACTCGTTCGAATCATAACCAGAATACATTAACAAAATATAACCCGAACAAAGAATTAATCAACCTTCTCCAGAAGTGAGAATGGCTGAACCACTTTATTGAGTAACAACTATGAGATACTCTAGTTGAATGAGACGAATCATACACAAAGTTCACGGCTATCGAACGATCAGTTTATCAATACTCAACCAAGCGTAGAAAAGAAGGCGTACAGTTTACAACACCAAGCAACATCCTTGCCTCCAGCCAGAGACAAACATCCTTGTGCCAGAGACAGTGAACGGACCTGTACATCTATATAGGGCCACAATCACCCAGTAGCGAGTGACCATAACAGTAGCAAATCAAAGTTGGGATGACGTCACATCATTGGCGGACCATATGACGATACATCATACTCTCCCACACTCATCAGCTGTCCGACGGATGGCTTCTGATCATCCCGTTTTATCACTGTCCCAAGAGTTTAAATGATCAGGAATCAACGCAAAGTAGAAGACTTGGTGGAAGCCTATTCAACATGATTAATGAATATATAAAGGCTTTAGCGCTGAGATTCGCATAGGACTAGTAAATGTCATTTATGTCATTTGTGTCTAAACAAGGGACGAAAGGACACAATGCACAACAACTCCTCTTACATGAAAATAGATGACAATCATTTCATAGTCCTCATAACACTTATTCTTGGGAAGGATGTAACGAAGCTGGGATGGTATCTCCTCATCATTTTCCAAGTTGTCGATACTAAGCTGTATAATGAGCCGACTGGGGAAGATCAGTGTCGTTGGATGTGTCCAGGATATACACTGTATATTTATGTAGTACTTATATATAGTACATATATATAGGTATTGACATGTTGTGCATATATATGGTCTGTATATTATACAGACCTAAATCACGAATAGGGTACGAGTGAGATATGACTTGAAACGACCACCGCAAGGGTATGCGGCATGGACGTAGTTAGCCTACGTGTCTCGATAGTGTATACAACTTCTCAAAGAGTTGGTTCGAACTGAAACTGAAGGAATTATTCGTCTTGAGGAAGCATCGTGTGGTTTTTGCTAGTGAAATGCTGTGCATAGAATCTTCACGATGCGAAGTTTGAGCATTTCCATCGGGGTTCTCACTGTTGATCTCTGTGTATACCACGCAGTTTCCCTTCACTTTGACGATTTTGTGTTGGCGAAAATTCTGAGAGAACCGCGGGATTTTTACTACCTTGCTCTTGAGATGGTGTAGTTTATCACATCTGTCGTAGTTGAAGGTTGAGGTACCTGGTTTACTACTGCATATGGGCTGTTCGTTGTCGACAGAAACAAAGAGGGTAGCGTTGGACCCGAAGAAGTTGAAGCGGACTCCATCGGGGAACCATTATATTTTCGAAGTACCCGTGGAGGACCTGCAAATGCCGGGCGAAAAGGAGCATCATAATAAGGTGATAAAGTCGGGTATTGCTTCTAGTCAGTTTTTGAATACCAAAATTCTGTCAAAGTTTTTTTTGGCTGGTCGCGACTATTGAATATCTCATCTGCTTGTAGAGATTTCAGTATCAGAAAATCTCAATAAGTCGGAACGCGCAGTATAAGAATGTCAACGTCCACAACAGTTGTTTTTTCGGCTAGTGCAATGGTATGGTTTTTGTGTTAAGGTTTCTACTCCGACTCCTCAGTACGACGAAGCCATGGACGACAGTGCTGAGGTAATAAATGGAAGTGTGGTACGGCAAGCAGGCAATTTACGCGACACACCTCCTCAGTGGGGGCATGGTCAACTACGTGTGTTGGCGACAATATGGAAATTCTGAGGAAATTTTGAGAAATTCTCATTGGTTCATTAGCACTTCTACGCGAATTCGTATGTAAACTTCCATAGTTAGTGAAGAAAACGAACATATATTCATCCAACACTGTTTGCTCGAGCGATCGTTCCTCATCCTCAGACTCAACGGCTCGCCCATGTACAGTCGTGGACAAGCGAAGACTTTCTTGACTGTTTATCAGAAGTCAGCCAGTTGCAACTTGAAAATGGCGAAGTTGTAGGCTCTTTCTACTCTGCCAGTTGGGCTGATTATTTTCTTGTTTTCTTAGGACACCCCGACGGTTTCTACTATTTTACCTCCAGAAACACAGGTTTAACGCACGAAGTAAACGACGGTTAATCAGATTTTTGATCCTTAGAAATTACTGGACGCCGCTTTGGAAGCACAAGAGAAAGTTCTTTATTACTTATCTGCCGAGGGCAAGGCTGAATTCGATCCTAATGGGAAGTCGGGCGAAGTTACTATGATGGTGAGGTCGCAGACAAGTGAAACTCTCCAGGTGAGCAATTTACAGTTCTGATCTACGTTGACGAATGAGTTCAGATCGTCATGGGCTATCGCTCGTTCGGTGTGGATGAAATCGATATGCAGCGGCTTCTGGACGTTCTCATGGACCCAGAAGCGAGAAAGGACTTTGATAAGCAAACCGCTGATGGTGAGTAATAGTTTATGGTGGTAGTGGTCGGGACGATGCTGTTATGATGAACGCGATCAGGGATAATAGGAAATGCCAGAGAGTCGAAGTGTTGTCATAGCCATTGTAGAGCGAGTCAGAGTGTGTGTCCGTATGTGAGTATCCGGAGCGACTTGGAAAAGTAACCTTCGTGAGTTTTTGCTTAGAATATGACATCTCTGTGATTCATATGGCACTGCAGGAAACCAGCTGGAAAAAATAAATGTTTTGAAATATGACATCCGTGGGATTCGAACCTTGGGTCTCGGAATACGAAGATGGTTCATACATGGGCAAGGCTTTGAGTCGCAGCAAAAGCCACAAGTGTTCCGTTCCTACTTGGCGAGGACTAGTAGTAGTTGCTCTTTGCTTACTTTTTTGTGCACTTTAGGGAAAATGTTGAAGAAGGCTCTCATCGATGAGCCCGACAGGCGTTTGGATCTGCATTATGATGCTTTCAAAGGTGAAGTTGATTATTTGCATTGGGAGTAATTCTTTCGTTAGGTATGATGAACGTCGGTGGACGTGACGCAGTGTTTGCAGTTCTGCGACAGAAGATTAATAACAATCTTTGGATTGTTTCGTCAAAGTCCGTGGATCTTCCAGGTGGGGTTAGCTTCGGTCGTTTTGCTCTTACTGGTGACTTTCATCAGAGTATCCTGAGAATGGTGTCCTGTCTGGGTATGTCCGATGTGATGTTAAGTTTGCGGGATATGCAATGTCAATCGATCCCGACACTGAGGAGCTGACAGTGACCATGTATAACCAAGTGGACGTGAAGGGTAACATACCCACTTGGATCGTTAACAAGGCACAGGTGAGGCACTACTATTACTACTATTACTACTACTACTACTACTACTACTACTACTACTACTACTACTACTACTACTACTACTACTACTACTACTACTACTACTACTACTACTACTATTACCACTACTACTACTACTACTACTACTACTACTACTACTACTACTACTACTACTACTACTACTACTACTACTACTACTACTACTACTACTACTATTACTACTACTACTACTACTACTACTACTACTACTACTACTACTACTACTATTACCACTACTACTACTACTACTACTACTACTACTACTACTACTACTACTACTACTACTACTACTACTATTACCACTACTACAATTATGAGTGTAAAACTCGAGTTTTATGTCAGAACAAACAGCCTGCATGTTTGAATGACTTGTACAAGCTCGTGAGAAAAGATTAATAATCGACTTGATGATCGAGTTCGTGCATATTAACACTGTCTCGAATAATGAGGCGAGGAAGTCAAGCACTGATATCCTACCTCATTTGCAATTCACCAATATTGCTGTTTTTCGCAATTCCTATCCTCGTTGTATAGATGTTTCCTCTCCGTCAAGTGTTGTTGCGTTTCCGCGCTCACTCAGTCTCGCCTCCGACGTGGCACTCTCTCTCTAGGAGTCGTTTTCTGCGTCCCATAGCTCGTCATTGTTCGTTCATACTAATACACAAGGCGCAACCACCGTTCACACTACGGTGACTGATTCTGTACTAGGCGGAAATCTGCACCGTTCTGCCAATACCATTTTTGCTTTTTTCCTGGGGTTCATCGCGCGCTGTGCTGCGGCCTCGGTCTTAGGCTTTTCACTCGAGTTGTTGGTGGAAGAGCACTACCTGAAAGATATCAGCTTGTGGACGCTCAGACGGGCAAACATAGTTCTTTTTGGCACGATGTGGGTCTTCCCCATAAGATTGTGCTCCCGTGCGACTTCTTGATGATTCGGACATTCAAGTACCTCTTGGCGGAAGCGAAGGAAGTTCATGTCTGTGACGGAGATACCGCGGGGTCTCCTGGCTCGGTATGTGCTTGAGGCGGAAACGTCGTCGGACATTGCTAACGATCGTCGTGGAAGTGCAACGCTGAGGAAGTGATGAACGATTGTTGAAGATGGTGTGGTATCCTGATTTCGTTACTCAGATCGTCTTCCTACCACAGACTTGGTCTGATCCAAGACTGGCAGGACAAAATGACAGGTCTCAAGGGCGACGGGGATCGGCTCGACCTCATTGAGATTTCGGATTCGACTCTCTCGTTGTCACGGCGGTGTTCGAACATAGTCTCAGGTAAGCATTTCAGTCCGAGGTAGCTCAAGTGCATCTACTCAGAACTGTATGAGGTGGGTCCAATTACGGATCCTTCCACGTCGTGCAATTCTATGCGACAGGGAGCCGCTGACTGGAAATTGATCGGAACTGTGTGCTGTAAAGGTCTAACAGATTAGGAAGTGGCACAAGAGATGGTGAAGGTCAAGGCATGGATGAACAGCTATAAAGCGCTTCTCGCCATAGAGCCCACACGTAAGCGATAGAGGACCACTGGGTATCGATTATGTGATGGCTTTAGAATAGTACTCCAACGGGATGATATTTGATCGTACGATAGCGCTGGACTTGATGATCGAGCAACAACATGAGGTATGGCTGGAAAAGAAGGACTGCCAGTAAGGCAACGTCAAAAAACTACAAAGTCGTGACTAAGTAACTGTGCTTCTCCCCGAAACATAGGCAGTCACGTTCGATGAAGTTCTAGAGTGGTAACAAATAATTGAGCGAATAATAGAGGCTGGCCTGGAGGTCGGCTCAGTGGCCTTGGTGCCATGCCACTCGACTAGGCTTTCCACGAGACGAGTGTATTTCACGTTTCTTCAGACGTGTTGACAAACAGGCCGCATGGCAAAAATGATATGTTGACCACAATAAACAACTTAGTTGCGACTCAGTGAGTGGAGCAGATAGAGCTGCGTGAGTGTCGCTCTGCATTGTAGAGTCTACCGCGAGGCAGCCGCATACAAGCAGAATTTGACCACTCATTCCAACAATGAAGTCGTTATTTTTATGAACTAAATAAACTTTATCAACTAGCAATTCTCAGCGCAGAATTGCACAAACCACCATCATTTTAATCGAAGCCCTAGACGAAGAGCTCGTTACGTGGTTTGAAATCACGTTCTCAAATCGGCATTCGAGCAATGTGCTCGACCTACTGAACTAATGAATGGTTCATTTGTAACTCTGAGGTGACGCATGTTTAGCGCACTACAGCGGCACAGTTCCACCCTGCAAAGGAAGCTATTGACGACCGACTCTCGGGTAACCCAACATCGCGCTCTCTCTATTATGATTTGTATCCATGAAATCGGAGTTATAGTGACGAAAAAGACCGGAGATTGAGATCCCAAACAATCACCCCTCGAGTACGCAAAATACTCGAATTGTAACGAGCTGTAAAAATACTTACTGCACGATACACATTACGGATCAGAATCGAATATCGACCACGTCACAGACATATAACGTGATCTGATTAGTTCCATACCATTCCTCAAAGGGTCTGATAACAAGTATACGAAAGAGGAAATTAACTTGGCCACTCACGAAACCCATCTGATGAGCGACATCTAAAACAGCTTCCAAAGATCAGCACACGCACTGAGTTGCGCGCCCGAGTGGACTCCCATCCGAAGCTCAACGGGAGCGCAGAAAGCTCATACAATATGCGTGCAACTGTTGCAAAGGGCACTGCTAATGTCTGAAAATCGCAGATAAAAAATTAATGACGCAAAGACGACTATTTTGAGTTCCATTCGCCCAATACATAGTCGGGAATGTTAAGGTCACCACTCTAAGATAGGAGATCATCAGTCACATACAGATGCACCCATATCCAATGCGCAAATAGCATTCATTTGGACACTTATCAGGACACTTGTCAGGTGGACACTCATTGCAGCCCACCATACCCTGTAACACGTAAGCAACGACCGCCGCAATAACGAGTACGACACGCATTTATAAGACTGGGAACAACTGAAACCACGTATAGGTTTGTTACATCCTCTTGGTCAAGCCATTCACCCACGGTGAGAAGCCCAACGTTTGCATCTGCGCTTGATGATGAGTTTGTCATCAGAAAATGTTTTCAACTTGCGAAATTTGTTTTCTGCTCTACTATTATCGGTCAGCTCGCGTACTTCACGTAAAACGCTAACAATGAACAAGATTCCGCACACACTTGTGCGGCATGACCTTGTCACAAACCGTACACGGATAGATCAACTGTAAGGAAATAAAGAAAGAAAGACAGACATGAATCCCGTCATAGAATCACCGTTGGAGGCGGCTGCTCAGATCGTCGTAGTGGTACCTCCACGCATAGCAGGTTAGATATCCGAAAATGCAAGCGCGTATGTATGTTGCATGCCTCATGTAGGATATGGCACGTACCCACGCACACTCGAAATGACTCTGGTAATACTCCTTTTCGACAGCAGTTAAATATGATGACAAGCTGTCGAAAGTATGTTGCTACATTTGATTGGCGGAACTGCATCCGAGATCCGCACGGGAAGAGTCGGAAAAGATTGCTGCCATCAATATTGACAATAAAAGCATTGTAAGGGTTGCTTGCACGCGCCATACAATTGTGTGTTGTATGGATGTGTCGTCGACGAGAGTGCTACTCCCTAAGAACGATAACCTCCTTGATACTCCAGCCCCAAAACGTGGATGATCAAACATACACATTGATTACACATTGATTTATGGGGAGTTTGATAGTCTA